CTCTACACCATGTATCTAATGACCGTGGCTTTTGCTCAGAGTGTCATCAACTCACTAATTTGATCATGAGAATGGAACAGAATATGTAATCATGTGATCTAGGTGGCCTACCACCTCGGTGAAACATCTTAATATGTGATCAAATTATTATAAGTGATAATAAACAACAAAGTTCTCTCTCTGGGAACTATTATAACATTTAATAACCTTAACAATTATTTGTAGTGAAAAGTAGCAGTAGAAATACAAGTACCTCAAAAATGCACTGAACAGTACTTGTAATTTTCCACTACTGTAAATCCCATATTGAAATCCCTAATATCCTATCAAAGGTGGCAGTGACTGAACAAAATCCAACTTTTAATAAAACACTGTCTGCTTAGCATCACACACACACCTGAATGAGTCTACATGGTGCTCTTTCGTTCTTTTTCCTCCTCCCTCCTGTAATTTCTAGTCTTTCTTGGTCCTCTGTAGCTTTTCCAGTCCCCTTCCCTCTCTGTCATCTTTCCTCCATCTCCTTTGTGTTTTGTGACGCAGTCTTGCCTCAACTATGTAATTATCCCTTGCTGATTCGAGGGGGTTCGGAGGAATTCAGCCCTCCCTCTCTTTCTCCTTCTGCCCGCCCCGTCCGCCTCCGTCACTCGGATGCTGAATGCCGTATTGTTCTCTGCCGCTACAAAGCTTTGACTGACAGCTGTGGGAAGCGGATAGTGAATTTTTAGTCCGCCCTGCGGCACCCCGGCCCTCCCTCCCACTGCCATCACTTTCATTTAAAAACTTGTCAACCGGTTTTTTTATAACGTCGATTGAGTCATGCCGTGGTGAAAAACCGAGCTTCTCCGGCAAAAAGAGCGTAAAGATGACAAGGCTGTAGTTACGATCGCTTACAATTCCATTTTAATATATCCGCTTCACTGTGAACTGTTGATTGCATCCCAGAGGTGGCTAAACTTCTGAAAATCCAAATATGAAGGTAAATTTACAGCCCGGGTACTTTTTCTAAAACCTGCCCCGGCCTTCGTTCTTTCCCCTCATTAAAACCAAATCAGCCCCAACATCAACCTCTGATTCGCTTGAAGCAACAAACCTCCGCTCTTGAGGGGACCGAAGAACCGCAATGTCGACACTATGTCCAAACCTTCCAAGGTGTTTCCTCTGAACCCAGAAGAAACCACTGCAAATAGCATGTTGGGACATCACATGGCTGAAACACCGTCATCATTCACATGAGTTAAACTCAGTTGCAAACACTAGCATTCAGGGAGCAAATGAGGGCACGGAGGGCGGCAGAGACTCTAATCTCTATTTAAAAAAAGTCTCAGAGAAAAACCCAACAAATGAGCCTCATTTCTACATCGATAACACTGCAAATTCTAAATTGAACATTAGCTAGCTGTTTTTGACTCACATCAAATGACAGCTTCCTTATTTTACATAACAGACTCAAGTTTCCCATGACAGCCTAACACGCTTTTCTGAGCGTTTCCCAACATGACAAGTAAGAAATTCTGGGAAAAAAGACATAAAACTTGTCAGTTTCTCTGCATGAAGGAACTTGCATTTAAAGATAAAACACCGACTATCGGCAGCTTCATGCTGAAAACATCAGCAACTGCCTTACAAATGTTTTTACTCTAACCCTTTAGTTAAAACCAGTATAATCCTGAATGGAGAAAAGGTCTGGCGTATAGATAAAGCACCACACACCCTCTCGCGCCACACTCACACACACTATCCGAGGGGATTTAAAGATTCAAACAGTGGTCTTGGTAATTAGGCAGATGGATTTGTGCCTCTCCTCCCGGTCCGGCGGGATATAAAGCGACACATAATGCAAGCGGACGAACTCTTTGAGTGGATTAATTAAAACCAACACTGCGGGGTCAAAGGTCAAGCCCCCTTACGCGCGTCAACCTCCTCACTCTTCCCTTTTCCTCCAGCCTTGCTCAGAGCGCACTCGAGCTGCTGCAGGGCGGAATACCTGCGTAAGTGAAAAGGATTTAGATGATTGGACGACGGCGGAAACGGACCCTGAAGAGATCGAGGAGGGAGCAGCGAAGGAATTATGGTGGAGTTTTTTAACGTTTCAGCTCGGCCATTAGGACTCATTTTCATATTAGCCCCGGAAGCACGCACTTGATCCTCGACTAAAACCTTGAGTTTGGTCGTATTTCTCCTTAAAAACACACTTTTATCTTCCTGAATATCCAGCAATGATTTAACCAGACAGTGCAAGAATAAAAACCTGAGCTCTCCTCTCTCCCCTCCCTAATTGAATACAGGACACACCTCGTCTTTGCCGTATGTGTGTGTGTGTGTGTAGAAGCTGGATGTAATCAGATGGAATTAATATGCATGCTGTTTCTCATTATGGAATAACTAAACTGCACTTCAGATATGTGGCGTGCACTGTGAGAGGCACGGACAGATTTCTAACATCCATCCACTGCTCTCCCTCTGGAACACGAGTTTGTGTTCATATATGTGTGTTCCGGCTGATATAGTATAAAAGATAGCGGAGGGAGTGAATGCAGAAGACACACCCCGCTGCTAATCAGATAACACTCGCTTTAACACATGCATGCACACACATTTGTCACTTGCATTAACTCCTCATTGCATTTAAAGTAAATCAAATTCCACACAGGTGCATTAATCAAATAATTGGGCTAATATGCGCATCATGTTGCTGAATTGTGTTATAGCAGTGAGGTCTCATCCTCCATCTGCATCTTCCTAATGTCCTTCTTTTAAAATCTAAATGATGCAACACCTTTTTTTGTTTGTTCAATTTCAGCAGCACAATCAGGAAACTTCTGGATCTTCACAGTCGCTCAACCACAGCGCCACAAATTCGGGCTTCGTGTGTCAAAATATAGAAGATGATCTCTAACTAAATCAAGTGTTTGAGCCCCCTTGTCGCCTCCCTTTGTTCCGCTGCTTTTGACGCTCGACAACAACAACAACACTCGCACACAATTTCTTGTTAACGCTGTGTTTATGATATGAGTCTTCAAGTGTGTGTGTGTGTGTGTGTGTGTGTGTGTGTGCATCTGAGCGTGATGGAGGTGAGTCTCATTAGGGAGAAAACGACGCAGAGAACGCCGCTGAGGTGCTTCATTATCATAAATGATTGAGAAGTGTGTTTGTGGGCGTGAGTGCTCATTTGTGTGTATGTGTGTGTGAGAGAATAAGCGAGCGAGTTGGTGCAAGTATGTGTGTGTGTGTGTGTGACCCCGAGAGAGTGTGAGTGACGGGCCGGCGGTAAGCTGGTCTTTATTAAGATGCACTGTCTTTGGAGAGGGACAGCTGCTCCTGCCTCTAATCTGGAAGAACAAAGGTTTAATAAAGAGAAGAGACGAGAGACAGAGGGAAAGTAAATTACCCTGTCCCCTCTTTCTCTCTCTCCTCCTTTTCCTCCCTTCCTCCCTAACGACTGATCTGAAAGCAAGAATTCAACTCTTCGGGTTTCCTGTGCAAAAGTTTGCACTGTATTTGTCCATCTGAAACTTCAATTCTTACGTTTGACCTTTCAACTTTAAAGCCAACATGGCCGCTGTGAGGCCGAGGTGTCAATTATTAGCTCGTTATCTGTGCTAAAATTAACTTAAAGTGACATTTTTAATGCCACCAGGAGACCTGTTCCCGTTAAGCAAATAGAC